GTCACCAATAACCACAGCGCAATCGTGTCCCTCGCGATGACTCGAGCATCTCTTGCGAAGCTTGGTCGCGCAGCCGTCGCTGCTGCTGCACGTCGCGCCGCAGCCTCTAATGCTAGCCGAATCGCGTTCAACGCACCCTCCCGTTCTGTCTACCGTCCATTCGTCACTATGCGCCCTTTCTCCGCCACCTCCCATGTTGCGATGTCGTTCCAGGGCGGTAAGCCGGCCGACCTCACGATGGCACAGTACCACGAAATGGCAGACGAGTTTCTCGACTTGGTTTTGGCCAAGTTTGAGGAGAAGCAAGACGAGGAAGGAGATATCGACGTCGAGTACAGTGTAAGTGTCGCATTCATATGTATCTAAGCCGCGTCACTAAGTGTACTAACTGGACCTCCTTGTTCTTAGTCTGGTGTTATGACCGTCAAGATCCCTGAGCTCGGCGTGTACGTCATCAACAAGCAGCCTCCCAACAGACAGATCTGGCTCTCATCACCTGTCTCCGGTCCCAAGCGATTCGATTACGTGATCGTTAGAGACGGCCAAGATCAGAAGCAGGACTCGGGCATAGGAGACTGGGTCTACGTCCGAGACGGCCAGAAGCTGAGCGACATCCTGCAGAAGGAGACGGGAGTTGTCCTCGACGATCCCAGTGCGATCTGAGGCTGGTTACCTACCTCGGTCGGTTGGGCGCACTTCTTCTACGCCTTGTAGCAACTTTCCCCGACATGATACTCATTAGACGGCGGCACGTGATGTTTTTAACACAGGAGTTCTGATTGGAGCTGTACCATAAGGATACATTTTGCATTGCTGGGAGAATTCAAGGGTTTATTGCACGATACCACTCATCCGTTGTCACCATATGCACCACACACTTTAGCAATAAGAGAAATCACAAGCTTTGCAGCAAATCAAGTGCCTTTAACTTGTAATAGCTCCAGATTACCCTCTAACACATGCAGTCTCCTCAATGTTGTCGGCGGCATTCTTATCCATCTGGATGTTGATCCACATACCAAAATAGATCCCAAACATCTACTGAGGTCTATGTGTTGTGGTAAGTCATCCGTTTAAAACTATCTAAAGCTTACTGTCAGTTACTTATTATGGTACAGGATCATGACAAATCCTAGCTTTAGGGAGTCTGGCTTCTATAAAGCCATCCTATTCCCTTAACCTTAGATGGAATCATACTATCCCTCGAATGTAGGTACCTAAGGTAAGGATACATGTACCGAACCAACCAGAAACATAAGGCCAATCTGCTAACCGAATACAAGCTGATCCAACCACTGTCTATATCTCCTTCCATTCCACGGCGCCTATCACGAATCAACTATTCAATCTCCTCTTCTTCTTCCTCCTCCTACATGAACCTATTCTTATAAGCGCAATACGCCGGGCACACAAACCTGATAGGTTTCTTGCTCTTGATCCAGAACTTTGACGCGACGGCGTACCCCTTCTCCCACTTCTTGCTGAAGATCCAGCCGCTGCGGCCGTGGCCGCACCACATGGTCAGGCGCTCGTAGAACTCGCGCATCTCGCTCTCGGGCAGGTGGTCGTCGTAGTTCCACTTGCAGTTGCACGCGAACGCGCCCGTCGCCCCCGTCATCTCGATGTGCAACCCCTTCCCGACTACCACCCCGCCCCGCAGGCTCCAGTCCACCAGCTTCTGGATCGAGTCCGTGATGTCGCTTTGCCGCAGGATCCACCCCGTGCACCCCATGTGCGTCACCGGGATCACCCAGTCGTAGGGTGTCACGGTGTCGTTGATGATGGTGTAGTTCCCCTCGTTTTCGAGGTCGAGCATGTCCATTGTGGTTCCTTCTGGGTACATGTGTATCCCGGGAACGAGGTCGGTAGTGTTCTGTTCTGGTGCTTTGTCTTGTGTCTCGGTTGTGTCGACCTCTCTGGTGTATGCTTTGAATCCCTCGTCTCTAGTCACCCCTTTTCCGAATACCTGGGGGACACTAAGGGCCGCGACGATGGGTCGCACGACGGTAGACAATTTCATAATGGTCTATATGTGGTGCTCGGAGCCGTTATGTTTATGTGGTGCTGGTAGAAGATTGGTGAAGGTGTCTGCTCTTTGCCTTGTCACTGGGTGGTATACGTGGAAAGAAGTCTGGATGGAATCTGACTATTAGAATGATTGTCGCCTTTGATCGGGGAAAGTGTGCTCTCTTAGAGGTATGTTATGATCAGAGTTTGTATACAACTGGCATCTCCATGGCTACGTGAACAGATTTACACCATAACAGGTAGATGCCAAAAGCTTTCTCCGCTACGGCAACAGTATAAAGTTCAATGGGCACAAGTAAACTTCATGTAACTAGGGTCCACATGATTTGAGATGGGATAAAGGTAAAGTATATAGGTTGAGTTTAATTTGACCATAAGAGGCGTTTCCTCTATTGCCATCTCGACTACTACCAACCCAAGCAAATGCTTACACCTATCGTCCCTAGAGAATCGTCATAACACGCTCGATACAGTCAGTAGAGGAATTCTATTTGCGCAAGGTGGGCTTGTTCCTGTTCTCACGAGAGTCCGATGGGCTTGCCCAGGTACCTAAGTGACTGTGGCGTTCCACAGGTATTGCGAACGATGTCACGGTTTGTATAAGCTTGTCGCGTGGAAAGGGGGTCCAAGTCAAGCGCGAGACTAGGATCCACACACTAAATCAAACTAGATTAGGTCAAGCGGCTTTATTCTGACCTTGAGGTTATTTTTATGACGAAATAGAGGCGGGCTATTGTCTTAGTTGGATGTTAAGGAAGGGAGACTCATACATATCATATGAAGTGAACTGGGAATTTATTTATACCATTAGTAATCCTAGGGGCATCTATGATGACAATATTCAGTGGTCATCGCCTTTTCGGGTTGAACTTCAAGGCCGTGATTCACTTAAAGCGATTGACGCGGTGCTCGCGGTATCCTTCGCGTCATCGGCATATTTCTCGGGTTAGGTCGGCCTCGGCCTTATCCCCTTGCCTCATTCATCTATTTACAAAGGGCGGTTCTTCCCTTCAGAATCTAGGCAGGTCACCGTCATATTACGTCAATATTATACTCGTTCTAGCAGATCAACTCTCATTTAGTTAGACTAAGCCCTTTGGATTTAGCAATTCGCCTTGATCATGGCTCATAAACACCCGATAATCTACTTCGGCACCTCAACGTTCGGTTCCTCTCACGTACCAGCGCTCCAAGATGAGGCAGTCGTTTCGCAATTCCTCGATGTCTTGCGCGACGGCGGCGTGTCTCAAATCGATACCGCAGCTAGATATCCGCCCGACAATCACGGCGCCTCGGAGCGCATGCTCGGCCGTGTGAGAGCCGGCGCAAGGGGCTTCACCATCAATACCAAGGTTCTCTTCGCCGGTCGGAGCACCGACGGCACCCTTAGCAAAGAAGCTGTGCGCAAGAGCGTCGCGAATAGTCTCAAGAGCCTAGGTGTCGAGAAGTTGGGTATCCTTTATGCCCACGCTCCCGACGAAGTAACCCCGCTGGAGGAACAGGCTGAGGCGCTCAATGAGCAGTACCAAAAGGGGTACTGCGAGAAGGTCAGGGACTCTTAAAGCAATTAAGTTTATCGAAATCCGCTAACATAAAATATAGATTGGCATCTCCAACTTCCCCCTTAACATGCTACAGTCTTTCATGGACATATGCGAGAGAAAAGGCTACGTCAAGCCAGCCGTATACCAAGGGCAGTACAACCTGATCTGCCGTGGGCCGGAAAAGGACCTAATTCCATTCCTCCGAAAACACAACATGACGTTCAACGCCTACTCGCCCCTGGGTGGCGGCTTCCTCACTGCCAACTTGACACTGGGTAAAGCCGAAGGCACGCGCCTGGGCAGTGCCTACGGAGCGCACTTTGCCGCCTGGTACGACAAGCCCGAGTTCCACGACGTCGTCAGGAAACTGCTGCAGGTTATCGAGCCGCTCGGCATCAAGCCCGCTGAAGCGGCTCTGCGGTGGTTAGCGTACCATTCGATGCTTGGTGAGAAAGACGGGATTATCCTGGGAGCTACCAAGTTGGAGCAGCTGAAGCCAAATCTGGTGGATATTGAAAAGGGGCCACTGCCTCAGGAGGTTGTTGATACGATCACCGAGATCGGGAAGACTATTGATGCGTTGGGTGGTGGCGATTTCGAGGTGAGGCCTGCGAATCTGCCTCCAAGGTAAATCCCAGGCAACTCGAGTTGGAGTCTTGAATATTTAGTTCGGCGCCGGCTTTACTGGGGTTCACGTCATAGAGTTCTTGTTTGTCAATGACTAGAGAAACATTTCCTAGAAATACGGTATCTCATAACCTCAGGGGTAAATAAGAAATCCGAGCCCCCTGAATAAGATCATGACATGACATATAACAAAATCCTATCAATAGAGTGTTATTAGCGTTAAATTGTCCTGTTGGTAGCTAGACATATTTTAATTTGACCGTGAAATGTACCTATGTAGGTTCCTGAATTCCCGTCCACCCCCTTTTAGTACTCGATGTTTTCGTTTCCCATAGTTTTGCGTACGTGAAGTGTAGAAGAGATTCGTCCATAGCACCAAAGGGCCGAATCTCTCGAGAATTATTCGACTTAGACGGTTAGAAAACGGCAGGGAGATAATCGATAATATGTAGCAAGGCCATCAGAGTAACCCCTGAAGCTGGTAAGCACCTCTGTTGCTTCGTCGTGGATATCACGATCTTCCATGAGGCCGTACGGCACTTCATGAACCGTCTCTGAGTTGAAAAGAAGCCAATTACATCGTAGAACAATACAAGCCACTGCTCTTCCAGCGCCTAAGGACACCGGTGTCGATTTTTAGAGGTTCGCTGTCGCCCACCCGAGCAATTGCCGGTTGCTCAGGTGGCAGCACTGGCGGGCCTCGCCTCGCGCGCACGCAATTGGCGGGCAGGACTGGAAGGCTTATGTATCCATTATGCGTACCTAACTTCCAAGGTCCTGACCCGGGCAGCGAGACCAATATGGCTGTTGGTCTAGCGGTTGGGGGATGACGGACTCAGATAAATCCGTCCGGGGGTTTTCGTAGGTCTGGGGTTCGAATCCGACACAGGCGGTAGGCAAGCCAACTATTCTGGTCAAATGTCGGTTAGAATCTCGCTAAGACTGAGCTTTTTGATGTTTTTATTGTTCAATTGTTTTGTTTACTGGTTTTAAAATTATATATATGTCATTTCTTGGTGTTGGCTTTTGTCATTTTGCGATCCTGATACGATACCCCTGATGGTCACCCATCTTCACCCTCGTCGGCGAATTTTTACTTGATCGTAGACGGACTCCCCAAGTACGTATTGTCGCCCCCTTACCATTGGATTGCAAATATCATGATCCCTGTGTCGATTCTTCCAATGATACATGATGCTACCTACAGACGAATTGGACAGAACAATTATTGCCGTTAAGAGCTGGAGAGTAGAATCAGTCGATACTATCTGGTATATTAAATTTTCTAGGATCTAAATATCTGTTGTACATGATATTATATAGTGTACCAAAGTTGTACGTAGGTCATCCCGAACTTAGTATCTTTTATCCAGTGTCAGCAACGCTCACTACTTCTTGACACACAGTCTCAATCTATGCAGCTCAAATCCATCGAACTCCCCTTCCGAGAGTGGAAAGTCCCAATCGTCATATTCTTGCCACATCTCCTTCGTCCGGGGGGACTCCGGGTCTCCAAGTGCTTTCCTAAGAGTGATATACATATGTTAGGTCATCTGCGCTGCTATCCTGAAAGGATGAACGATTGCTTACCCATATTCGTTGAAGGCTTGGTTGCCGTCAGTCCTGATAATTAGAGCAGGTCGTGCAATATCAGCAATGATTTGCTTGACGGGCGCGGACACGAACGCGGAGAACACTACGGATTCATCATCGACTTCTGCAAAGCCTCCAGCCCCGAATTGGCCGACAATTTCGAAACCTTGTTCACTTAGCATCTCCTTCGTCTCATCGGTGTACGCGGGATCCTGGGCAAGCAGACGGACCGCTTTCGCAGATCCGGCTTTGGCACGGAGGACATCTCCTATGGTCAAAGCAATGCAGTGTTGTATCATTGAGCTGTCTAAATGCCTGGCTTCCAGCTCGTCCGACTGCAAGCCATTTTGTATTCTCCACCACTCGGGGGCTTTACGACTGATATCGCCGAGGCCAAAACAGACGATTTTGGTTATTTTCTTTTTGCCTAACAGCTCTTTTAGCTGTCTCACGAAGGAGAAGCGCGTCTTGCTCGAGTTCCAAGTCTTCCACATCTGGAAGAAAAGCGCTTTCGCGTTCTCGATCTGTCCCTCGTAGTCTCGTGCGGTCTGGTTCTCCCAGTCTACTAGATATGAGCAGAGATGCGTTTCAGGGGGACCGTCAGGTTCCTCCTTGACGAGCCGCCAATATTCCTGGAACTTGACATACGGTTTCCTGATGGGCAGCAAGACGAGGGCCTAACGTTAGCTCTGAAACCCGCATAAGGCCTGTTAAAAGAAGGACGTCATACCAGACTGGCGTGTCCACCCCAAACATCGGGTTCCTGATTCGGAGTATGCCGCTGTCAATACGTCGAACTGTAAATGCGTCAGTGATACAAGACTCCGTGAGTTGCCGCTCGATCTCTTCAAGGTCTTCTTTCTTCCAGAGCTTGACTCCTGCGTTGTATGTGGTTGCCGCATATTGGCTACTTTCTTTCCATAAGTGCTCTGACATAGTGAAGTAAGTGAGTATCGTTGCTCAAAGTTGTCACGATAAGAACTTAAGGGGGTAATAAGAAACGATGCTGCTGTCTGTAGGTCATCGCCGTTGGAAAGCATGAAGGGGGAATATTTATAAAAAATCGTTGCTTTGTTCGCTTGTTCCATCCTGTTACAGACATGGTGTGTCAGAATGGTGATGATGATCGAGATGTGTGTTGTCGTAAATGTAAGCGCTTCTTAGCGTAAAATGATATTATTCTATGTCTTAACTTGATGCAAGTTGAAGATGGTGGCCGATGCGGGTGGAGTAGGATTAGAAAGGTGCCCAGTGATGGTGTGGGCGGATAAAGTACGGCATCGTTTGAAGCAGCACAGCATGTACGCCGTACTTTTGCCTCTGGACGAAAACGTTGTCCGGCTCGGCACCTGCACCTGGTTCCATGCACTGCCGCAATATGTCGGCAGACACCCACAGCATGTGCGACATCTTGCAGAACCCGCACGGCACGGTGCTCCGTATATGCTTACCCGTGGGTAGGAAATGCGGCATGTGGGCGGATGGTTGGTTAAGTTCTTGATACCCTGCTGCTACGATACCCACTTTCAGCCGTTCTTGCAGTAGCTCGCGCGTAAGGGGGATGGGGATCTTAGGATTAAGATCTATTATATGGCTTATTACCGTATTGGGAAACGCTCAAATGGTGGTGTTACACGGATCTCTACTAGGAGAAGATGCTGAATGGCCAATCTTATGCCCAGAAAGAGAAGCTTCCCTAGATGGTAAGAAGTAGATTCCCGAATCGCCAACTATTCAAACAGTACAGTAGTATACATGATTTTTCACATTTCGATCATAACTCTGACGAGCAAGACACAGCTTAGCCATCATTTCTTGGAAACTTTGTCCCAACGGGCATCCCAATCGTCCAGCTTGTGCTTTATAGACGTCCCCGACCTCTGACTCGACTCTCCAGTGACAAAGAATCCCTCCCTCGGATCCGTCTCTCTTGTGAAGGTGTCGATTCTGTCCTTCCTGCCAGGGTCCTGTTTGGAGGACCGATGGGAGGAGCTAATGGTGTTAATGAATGAGTTGTACGGGCAATGGGCTAGATATCACCTTGACTTGAATGAATATGATGAGGTACGGTCAGGCATGGTAGTGGGATTTAGGGACAGGTGGCCCGAGGGTAATCTTGGCGTAGTTTGCTAACAACGGGATGATGTGGGTTATGAATGTGGAATTGAGTTCTGTTCGATAATGCGGTGCTGGCGTTGTGTGTATATGTAGTATCTACAGAGCTGCGTATGTGTGCGCGTGCGTGTATGCGCACAAGTGTGTAAAGGCGCAAGAGAAATCTCAAACAACGAATCAATTGTGAGGAGAGGAGCGCAGAGAGTGTTGCCAGTGTTATTCGTGCAGGGAACTATCTGATTCTCACCATGCCGGGCCAGCGAGAGCTGTTCATTTATATTCCGAAAAGTAACATTGATCATGGTGATGATCAAATATAAGCCGGATACAAGGAAAAGAAAGGTGTATGCCACGTCAACGACGGAAGTAGAAAAAGCTTCAGAGTCATACGCTTGTCTACCGAAGGATCGCATACTTGAAATGAGATTTGCTCTGACGAAATGAATTGGGTAGGGTTCGTTCACAGCACACGGCGACCCGACCGGCGGTGTGGCGAAAAGTTCGGCGTGGGAGAGAGGCGTGTCAAGTTGAAAAAAACATTGTGACAGGCCTAGTTGAATGGTTGCTGACGACTAGTGGGAGGCTATGGATGGCATGGGATGAAACACGGCTTGTTGAGATGATGAAGACCGATCACCCTAGGGTCGGTTCTTGAATGCCTACATGTAGATAGGAATACCTTGGATAGGGTATGGCATGCCGGATTGAAGGTCGCGGAGTCACGATACATTAGCGGCGACCGTTCAGTCGATGCTCTAGACCTCCACCCTTTCCTAATTACGCCGAAGGGAATAAGCCCACTCTCGTCCAATTGCGCCGACGGATCAAATGTGTAGAGGCATCTGAGACAGATACGAGTGAAATCCCCGAATATGTAGGTACCATCGATCTATGACGAAGCGAATGACAACTTGGAACCAAGTAGAAAAAGTAGGTACTAGTGATTGACGTACCGGACACAGCGATGTGATGAATAATGGCCGTTCATATTGACTACGGGGAATATGCCGTACCACTAACAACCCTAGTTCTCTCCGAACCAACATTGAAGGTGACCAGACATTGTTAGGCCAAGGAGGGCTGTGCAAATAAGGAAGCTTGACTTCATTGACATGTTGATGTTATGCAGAAGAACCATAACCTTAAAATTGCGATGGTCTCGGCCGATGGAATCGGTGCGCGAGCCCCGTGCAAACGTGACGAGTCTGAATCGGGCCTTGTAGCCTCAAGAAGAGATACAGTACATGTAGGGATGGGGATGGGGATGGGGAGGGGCAGGTTAGGCCGCAATCCAAGTATTAATGGGATGATCTTTCCCACCCTGTGTGACCAAAAGGTGGTGAGTTGTGCTTTGTTGAGAAGGGGTAGGTTTGCCGTTTGCCTTGTCTTCGCAACTGCGATCTTGGGTCGCGGCCGGACGAGGGAGATATATCTCTGTTGTAAGGTGGAAGAAGGGTCTAACCTAGGCGATCGCCGTTTCTACACTTCTATGGTTAACCCCGCTAAGCCCACTATTACGAAAGCATAGCCTCCCAGGACCCTAATGATGCAGTGGCTGGTGGGCATGGGGATGGGAACTTCCCCTCATTCCATACCAGCATCAGCCACAATATTAACCACAGCCACGGGCTACTGCGACCACCAGGCGGCCTGTAATTTGAGTCTACGTACATGGACGTACCTGTTCCCTCGTCTTTTCCCTCGTCTTTTCCCTCTCCGATCGTGTTCCACGTCTCATGCCCCTCCCTCATTCCCTTCGGCGGGCTCTGGCAAGGCAACTGGTACAACTGCACTTACGTCTCTTTTTCGTCCAATCCAACCATCTGCACTTGATGAATTAAACTAAAAAGCCACGGAAGAAATAAAACTTTATCGAGCGATTAAATTCTACGTTTCCGTCCGCGATGCTTTTGCCTGTGATTGGAGAAATGAGTGACCAGCTCATGTGCTTCGTCAACTTGCATAGACGAAACTACTGCCATCAATCTTCCCTACATGGACTGTATACATCTCGATGTTTTCGGTAATCATGAACTGGGTCGAACCTCATCCTTGTGGGAAGTGGCCAATACACGGAGTTGCCTCTCATGCGAACATTTCATGCTCACAAACCTTTGCGAATAGGGAATTGCAAGGGTATTGAGACAACCAGAATTGGGTGAGAGCCTGCATGAATCGTCTGCTC